GAAAGGCAAACCGGTAATTCGCATAGGTCCGTTGGGCATTAGCAGGACAGTGAATTTGAACTGGGCTACGAACTCATCTACAAAATCATAAAATTATAATAGTACAACCTTCTCTTTCCGAGAGAACCGTCATAGGTGTGATTACATTATGCCGCGCACATTCAGTCGCAGCAAAGCGAGCCTTCTTAATATCATCGACACCTCTGAAGATTGGAATTTTCTACAGTAAAATACCTGATGTTGAAAGGATAAATCTGGAACTTTGACGAGACCTCACTGTAAAATTCTAAGCGCAACTTATACATAACGTCAACAACATACGTCTAGAAGCCTTCATTTTCAGATGGTACACAGTCTCATTTTTCTTGTAGATGGTTGGTCGAGCATTTTCCTCCTTCGTTTTTCCTTCGCCAGTTGACATGACGATATCGATAATCCAAGCTTCGTACATTTCTAAAGAGCACTTCTCAACAGCCTTCCTCTGCTCTTCAGATGGGTTGAGGACGATAGACTTCTCGCCGTCGAAAACCGACTTGTGCATCAGATGAGACTGAACACCTGCCGCGGAATTTACCCAAAGAATTAGACGTACCTTCCACGGGTTTGCAATTAAACTCGCTGGCAACTTTTGAGATGACATCAGTAATTTTGAAATTCTACAGAAATTAACGTGAACAGAACATTACATCATTTCCAGGTTTAAGAAGACGCATAGTGGCTTCAGTAGCATAATAGGCAGCCAGTATAACATCTGCTTTCCGGCCAGTTATTTTGGTATCCTAAGAAACTAGTACCAAATCGATTGATTAACTTACCGCATTTGCACCGACCACAAATGTGTGGCCGACTACGGCGGCAAAGCCGTCAATGTGAGCACCTAAGTCACTTGAGAACAGTCATTAAACAGATAAGTGAATACATTTTGACTAAGTCATCCTGTTTCAGCTGTACAATTGCGTTTTCTTCCCCATCGATAGGAGAGTAATGACACACAATATTGTTGACACTGATGGTTGTCGGGAAGGCAATTCCTGTGCGAATATGGAAAATCGGCAAGAAGAGGAACCTTTTTTTAACTCTTTCTCTTTTTTGTACAATTTTGATGTCTCCTCCACAATGCGTTTGTCACCAAGTGCGCACAGCTCAATTATATTGGCTCCGTCGATACATTCTTTCAATAATGCCTGCAAAGCAGCTTTAAATGGAGAATGAAGAGAATATTATTATTACTGTGTGCACATTCTGCTGCGACCTTATACTTGTTTAGTACAGTCTCATCCGCGGCCGTTGGCTCTTCGTCCGAATCGTAATCTGACATGGTAAAAAATCACACAACGTTCCTTTTCACAATTGCCGCCCGACCCGCTATTTGCAAACTCGAACAATGGAAGAAGGTTCAGGGTCAGTTCAGTTCAGTTCAGTTTTATTAGGGAAATATAGGTAAATACCTTT